CCACCTAATTTCCTTGAATCGGCTGCGGTAAATTAAAATTCAATATGAACATTTCTGGCCGGCTAAATTTCGAGAGAGTGAGAGAGAGTGAGAGAGAGAGAGATACGCCCATACACACATACACATTCACACATTAATCAATGTTCCAAAAACTTACTGAATTCTGCACACAAAGAGATAGAGAGAAAGAAAGAGACGAATAATCAAAGACGAGGTTCATTCACAAACCGTACATAATTAAATTTTTCTCCTACATACTGGTCTACAACCGTTCTGACTTTTGTACACAGGGGGATAGCAAGATAGAAAACCGTATCTGTTTCCCACCTAATTTCCTTGAATCGGCTGCGGTAAGTTAAAATTCAATATGAACATTTCTGGCCGGCCGAATTTCGAGAGAGAGAGAGAGAGAGGAAATACGTTTCAATTGTAACATCCAAAACACCTTTCTTTCTCATAAACATCAATTGTAACATCCAAAACACCTTTCATAGCAGAGATAGTACAGAAGCCAACTTTCGTCCAATGTCCAACATTCATGTGTATGTGCGTGCGTGACAATTCGTGTGAAACAGAGAGAGAGAGAGAGAGAGAGAGAGAGAGAGAGAGAGAGAGAGAGAGAGAGTGCCAAAAACAAATCTAATAACAAATCTCGAAAGCTATTGTCTAAAACAAAAACCACGTGCACTATCTCTTGTGCACACGCGATGTCTCTGTCTCTCTCTCATGCACGTAGCACAACCGTACCTCTCTCTCTCTCTCTCTCTCTCTCTCTCTCTCTCTCTCTCTCTCTCTAAAATGATAGATTTTTCATTATTTTTACGCGGACCTGTAGTACGTGCCCAACCTACATCCTTCACAAATAGGACAAAAGCGGCCCACTTAACTCTCCCTCTCTCTCTCTTGTGCACGCTCGATGTCTCTCTCTCTCTCTCTCTCTCTCTCTCTCTCTCTCTCTCTCTCTCTCTCTCTCTCTCATTCAGAAAACACATGCACTTAGCACAACCGTAGGCCTCTCTCTCTCTAAAATGATAGATTTTTCATTATTTCTATGTGGACCCGTCGTACCTGCCTAACCTACATCCTCCACAAATAGGACAACATCGGCCCACTTAACAACCAGTTGCTCTAACTACGGAGCGTGATAAAACCTTTCTATTGTCGTGTTTTTTTTATAGCCTTTTCAAAATCTATCATATTTTGTTGCCAATTTTCTCTGATTTTGGTTGATTGATTTTCATGCCAATTTACTCCAAGTTGTTGGTTGATTTGCTTCCTCTCTCTCTTCTCTCTCTCTCCTGTACGCCACTTTACATCACTCTGCACTACAGCCGTATACTTTACCCAACTACTCTCTCTCTCTCTCTCTCTCTCTCTCTCTCTCTCTCTCTCTCTCTCAGTACATTTGTCTCTCTCTATCGATACATGTTTCTCTCTCTCCATCTCTCCTCTCTCTCTCCTTCTCACTTTCCTTCGGAGCATCTCTCTCTCTCAGTATTTCTCTCTCTGTTTCTCTCTCTTCTCTCTCTCTCTCTCTTCTCTCTCTCTCTTTCTCTCTCTCTCTCTCCTCTTCTGTCTCTCTCTATCGGTATATGTTTCTCTCTCTCTCCATCTCTCTTCTCTCTCTCTTTCTCATTTTCCTTCGGTGCCTATCTCCCTCTCTCTGTATTTCTCTCTGTGTTTCTCTTTCTTCTTCCTCCCTCTCTCTCTCTTCTCTCTCTCTCTCTTCTCTTTCTCTCTCTTCTCTCTCTTCTCTCTCTCTCTCTTTCTCTCTCTCTCTCCTCTCTCTCTCAGCTCTCCATTCGATCAGCACAGCCTTCGTTACACATATGGGCGAGATTCTTTTTGGGGACGACTTGAAGGATCCCGTTTGTTGCCGATTGGACATATTTGCCCCAACATTTTCCTTCCCCTTGGATTTGCGTCTCTCTGCCAACATTTTTCTTTCCTCTTTGTCGATATTCTCCAACACTTCCGCAAGGATTGCATCGGTCGAATCTACGGTTCCTCCATCTGTAGTCGTTACCCCAATAGTCTGACTTGCACCGCCAGGACCATTACGTACATCGCTCATTGTCGCCATGTCTTTCACTTTGCCACGAAGTCCATCCGCCCAACCACTCACCGCCAAGTAAGGGTGTAGTTAGGACCCACCCAACGACTGACCTGTCTGGTAATATTCGGGTTCTTGGGGAGGGAGCGCGCCGCATAGACGAAGAATTCCGTACTGCCTTTCGTGACCACCTTAATGCCTTGCTCCGCCCACCATAGCATCAYCGGGCAGACATAACACTCCCCGGCTGCCAATATTTCCTGTAGCGACCCCTTCACCGTTGTATTAATATCCATGTCTGCTTCCATTCCCTCGTTGATATCCATGTCCTCATCMATCRCTCCGCCCCTGTCATCCGTCGAGTCCCCGCCTTCATCCCCTATCATGGGCTCATCCARATCCGGGGCAGGCTGGCGGGGTTGTGCGTCCTCCATGCCTTCCGCCAGCCCCTCCTCGGCCACCTTATTCTGCAACTCCTCTTCTTCAATGCGTCTTCGCTGCGGGGACACCCATCGGTCCTCGTCTTTATGCGGCTGCACCTTACGACCAGCCGGGGAGCGGGACCGATCCCACCTCTTCGGCTTTGCGTCCACCCGTGCCTGCAGCTYGCGTCGCTCCTCTTCTCGATCGGACTGGATCGCCCCTGTTGCTTGCTGTAAGGAACTTCCCACCTTCGCGGGGCTCGATATGGGCGGACCCGAGGTCAGCTGCTTCCGCCGACGTCTCGGCATGCCCACCRATCCRCTGTCCGATRKCACAGCAGTGGGCTCACATTTGTGGGAGGGGGGAGGAGGGGGGGGAGGGGAGAGGGCCGACAGGCTAGCTGCGAGGTCCACCACCTCCACGTCGTCCGATTCGCCTTCTTTCGCGCCCCCCGAGACTTGGATATGCACATTTGTTGACTCCGCACCCATTTCTGTGCGACCATAAGGGATAAGGAGCCAGCATTCCTGCTGCTGCCCCAGAGGTGGTTCTCCATTCCTCGATCCATCCCCCGACCCATCCTTTTCCCCCCTTCCCCCCCCACCCACCTCCTCCTTCCCACCACTCTCTCCCGTCCTTCCCCGTTCCTGCCCTCCCCCTTGAAGCGCCTCACTCTCCCTGAACTTTCCTCCTGGCGTGCGTTCCTTGCTGTTCCCCCCCACCGTCTCCTCCTCCCCGACCTTCTTGTCTAATATGCTGGCCCGCACATAGTCAAGCATCACTTGCTTGTCTTCTCCCCGTGTCTGCCCTCCCCCTGGGAGTACCTCACTCTCCCCGACCTTCCCCCCTGGCGTGCTTTCCTTTCTATTCCCCCCCCCTCCCTCTTCATCCATCCTTCCCGAAGATTCCACTACCTCCTCATTCGACCATCCACTGGCCTCATTAATGTCCTCCGGCACTTTCCCTGGACTGATCTCATCCAGCCCCACCTGCCCCTTCTGCTTACATTCCCCCCCAAGCTCACGCAGCACCTCCTTGGTTTGCCCTGTCTCCCCCCCCGAAATCCGAAGTGCCTGCCCATCAAGTCTGCCCTGACTGTCTTCCTCCTTCCCCTCCAATATCTCCACCTTACCTGCTTCCTCCTCCGGGGGGGGGGGCGGTGACTGGGCCTCATCCGCCCGTCCTCCACTCGTCTCCCCCCSCCCCCACTCCCTATCCAGTTCGGGCACGCACGCTTTTCCTTCCCGGCGATACTCCATTTCAGAGTTTACCTTTTCCTTTACTATGCCCGCCCACCGTCCCCGCTCCTCCGGGGGGGTAACCGATGTGTGCTTCGCAGCCCCCTCCTCCACCTTACCTGCTTCCGCCTCATCCGCCCGTCCTCCACTCGTCTCCCCCCGCCCCCACTCCCTATCCAGTTCGGGCACGCACGCTATCCCTTCCCGGCGACACTCCACATCAGAGATTACCTTTTCCTTTACTACGCCCGCCCACCTTCCCCGCTCCTCCGGGGGGGTAACCGATGTGTGCTTCGCAGCCCCCTCCTCTTCACGCCCCATCCCTGGTGGATGCACCCGTCGCTCCTGCGCCACAGGAGGTGTCCCTTTGTCCCCCTGTTGCTGTTCAGTCCCCGCCACCTTACTCCCCATCCCCTGTACTTGGGCGTCAGTCGGGGTCGGCTGCGCGTGGGCCCTACACTCCTGTTCCACAAGGGTTGCCGGCTTGGTCACCCGTTGTTGCTCAGTTCCCTCCACCTTATCCTCCGTCCCCTGTACCTGTGCATCGACCGGGATCAATGGCTCGTTGGAGGCTTCAACCCGTGAGCCTCGCTCTTGGACAAAGACCTCTTTATCGACCAGGTCGTCCCCCCCCACCCCTCCCCATCCATTCCCCACTTCAGCCGGTTGCACGTGGTCGTCAGTCAACCAGCGCATCCGTGGCTGCAGTTCTCGAAGTTGCCGAAGCCGGCTGCATGCTAGGACCACACTGCCGCTTCTCAATCCCCACCTCAACCCCGGCCCCCTTGGTACACTCCTTACGTTTCCGGTGCATATCACCAAAGAGCCACACAGGGGGGTCAATCTCCATGCGGTCATGCACCTCCACTGGGGGGTCCCTGTGCCTACCTCCGCCCGTCCCCCTGGCGGCCGGGTATGTCGACCACGGGGTTTCGAGTCCTGTCGCCTGCGATAGCCCTCTGCTACTTCGGGGCCCCCCACGCGCCAGTGTGTCGCCTGCAACTCCTTCAGCACCACCGCATCGTATCGCTGCTCGATCTCCCTCCAGGCTCGCCTTTCCGCTTCCACATTCAACGCTAAAATGGGGTCCATTCGCCGGCGTATCTCCTTCTCCTGCAGCTCTCTGGCTGATTCCGCCTTGGAAAGGCATCGGCCTTCCCGTCCCAAATGCCCATGCGTAAAACAGACGTCGCAAAATGGAGTTTCGCTCGTAATAAAGCGAAACTCCTGCGTAGTCGTAGGCCCAAAAGCCACARCTACCCTCTCAACCTGGCGCATCTTYAGTGGGCCCCTAACCACATRCCTYCRATATTCSCTTTCTTCTTCACAGAAGAGGGCTATAGAAACAATCTCGCCAAAAAGTTGTTGCACCATCTGTTCTTCGAGAGGGACCAAAAAGGAGGGGGGGCTGAACACTTTGACCCATGGCCGATGTCCTTTCTCCTCCTCCCGCTGAAACTCCATTTCCGCAGGCGTTCGCCATGGGACCAGTTGTACTTCATGACCAACATCTCCCACCAATATAGACTCCACCTTCCGTTCATGTTTAAGCCAGTCCCTCACCTCCGTGGAGGGCGCCATATAGATGATCGTCCACGAGCCCTCTATGTCAATCATCCCCTTCCACGGACCCCTACCCATTAGCCACAGGTCTTCGCGCGCCGTCATCCATGCCTTCTTCATACGTCGTGACCAGTCCGCCACTACTTCTGGGAGCTTGAGCACTACTGCATGAGCCCGCGCGTACGTCATCAGTAAATACCCCAAATCAGGGGTCAGTCGCGCAACTGCCGTCCCCCCTTCGATGGTAAAGGATAGCAGATCTGGGGGTCGGAGCTGGAGCCCTAAAAGGAAAGCCGGACGGATCATCTGCATCAAACCCTCTCGGTGTGCTTCCATCTCGTTCACCCAACACCTATTTGACCAAAAGAAAGTTGCTAAAAAAAGAAAACCAATTCGTAACACCCCCCACCCAAAACTCGCCTCCCGTCCCCTCTTCGTAAGCCGCACCCGCACTCCAAAAACGGAACAATAACCGCGGGACTCCCCGTGACCGGGGTCGGCTAGTCAGCAAGACGACCCACACAAGTAGACTAGTTMCCCCCGTCGCCTTCTGTTCCGCAGGCCAGGTCTCTGAGCGCGAAGAAAGCTCCACGCCCACCCGCCTGCACGACCTCCTTCCTTGCACACTCCCTCCTCACTCTCCTAACTGTGTTCTACCATACTCCCRCCTCCCCCAACCTGGCRTTGCCATGAGAGTCGGGCACCGAAGCCCAGGCGCCCCACACACAAACTCCTCGCCATGACCTGACCTGCATCCACGAGAGTGACATAGCCGACGTGGCACATGTCACGTCAACGGGGGCGGTCAAACCCCAATACAGGCGAGAAAATCGTGAAACCCTAGCTGGCGCGAGGAGGTCCACGCAACGGTTCGAAAATTCAACGACCGAAAAAAATCGCGAGGCGACTAAAACTTCGCAAATTCCGAACGCCGCCGTCCACCCGCCACCAGGTCGCAGATTCGCCCAAGGGCCCAGTTGCTCAGGTCTCTGATCGTGAAAGCAAAATTAGCGCACCTTGCCAAAATTAGCGCAATTCGCCATTCGCAGTTTCACAGTGCAAAGTGTTCACACTTAGACGTGCATGGCTTAGTCTTTGAGACAAGCATATGACTACTGGCAGGATCAACCAGGTAGGGGGTGTGACGAGCAGCCGCAAGGAGCGATGGCCGAGGCGCACGTAGGCACGTCACGCCGGACAGCCTACCAAAAGAACGTCGAACAATCGTGGAACGTGCAATGAGCTGCCGAGACGCCGCGAAGTCCGGCTGTTTGAACTGCAGGTGAACTTCCCTCCGTAGGCCATCTCCAACGGCAAGGTACCACACAATCCAACACAGCCCGCCGCACCCGCCCAAGAGTTTGGCTGCGAACAGCACCCGCCCACACCACACCCAGAGATCGCAAGTTAACCACACGACCCGAACAACGGCGCGCACGAAGGAACCACCGACAGCTTCGGCCCACAGCCGGATGCCACCGCCTGCCCAAAACGTACCGACAGCGAAGTGCACAGCCTCATCTCTCCATCGAGAAACGTGGGTGAAGAGAGAAACGAATGCACCACGCTTCCAACACGCCCGGACGGACGGAAAGCCTCCACCTGTGCACGGGGGCGCAAAAGGAACACAACCCCTCTCCCCCCTGGGCCCACACCCGCCGGTTGCCGCGGGCACCACCAACAGCACTCGACGCAGCGAAACCCAGGAGACAGAGGACAGTAAGCCTTCGAAGCCCACAACCCAAACGCAGCGGAACCACGACGCAACGCGATCCGTCACGGTGTGCAGCATACCGAGACCACAGGATGGGGGACACGACGGTTCGGATGCTGACATCAACAGATGCATTTTCAATACATAGGAACTATGTGATCGTAGTCCGGGCACGCTAGCGCAAGATAGGAGGTGACGTGGACAATGATTGCAACCACCATGGGCGACTACAAGGACAACAAGGGAGAAGTTGAGAACAAGAGAGAAGAAGAAGAAAAAGGAAGGATGAGAGCGATGGTACTTACCACAATGAAAAGAGGCGGAGCCGAATAGACGAAGTGGGGACTGACACAATATCCTCGAACAACAACGCACCCTCATCGTGACTGTACGTGACCTGAAAGATAGGTTGTATACCTTTATTATTATTATTATTATTATTATTATTATTATTATTATCATTATTATTATTATTATTAGGTGCACTGTGGTTCTTAGGGGCACGTGGCATCTGTGTGGGGGAAGAGGTTGTGAAGGAAGGAGAGACATACCTGGTGCTGGAAGTGTGCAACAGTGGTCGCTATATGCTCGTACTTTGGGAATGTCGTTGATATCATCTTTGGGCTTCGCAGTTAGGATCTGCCATTCGTAGTCTGGGTGCAGAGCGCCAGATCGGATATCAACATTGGTTCTTCGTTGATGATGATGACAAGACTATTTCAGCATTGTCAACGATGAACTTTGTGTGTTTGCTATGCTGCTCTTGGTTCGAGGTCATGACTATCTGGTCTCCTGTATATGTTACTGCTTGGTTTCTTTAGTTTGCTATCGCTCAGTTTCCTTACATTATGAATACGCTTATTATTATTATTATTATTATTATTATTATTATTATTATTATTATTATTTTCATCCTAGTAAGATGGCAGTTATCGGGAAGAGGGAGAGTGTGAAAGAAAGAGAAAGGGGGGGGAACTGTGCCAAGCTGTCCATTACGTGACTCTGGCATGTGCTACTTCGTTTCTCCTCTGCCTTTTGCCTTCCTGGGAATGTTCCGAGGATGCACGCCCGACACTATGACTCTCATGTCAATGCTATTCCCGACAAGTCCCCATCCGAAAAGCAACTACCAAACAGATTGAATACATATTGTTTCATTCATACCATGCAAAACCTGCTTAACATCAGTTGCGCTCCTACGGTTGGAGGCGACTTCCAACAACTTCCCTGGAGCCAATCGTCAATGACATCATTCGACCGCACAAAACTGAGACTCGCCCACACGAACATGCACTTGCACGCATATCGTCAAAACTCGACAGATAAGCACGGGTCACCAGTGTGTTGAGGAACGAGGTTGTGAGTGATACGAGAGATTTACCGGGTGCAGCAAGCGTGCGGCATCAACCGCTATCTGTTTGTACTTCGAGAACTGATGTCGTCATCTTCAGCATTGTAGATCAGGACAGATAGGATGTGTTGTCTGTAGTCTGGGCGATGATCGCAAGCAGGAGAGTGAAAGGGGTGTGAATCTTGTGTTGGTGTAGAGAGGGTATGCTCTCCTGGACACTAGTTTCAATACTGCATTGGTGTTATACTGGTACAATGCTGCTTCTGAACGCTGTGATACGCCCTGGCTATCAACGTGATTGTGCAATCTGGATATTGTTATCTTGCTACTTCTCATTTTCCTTGCCTTATTATTATTATTACTATTATTTTTATTTTTATTATTATTATCTTTTATTATTATTGTTGGAAATCAGACTTGCTTCCCTCTTCACTTCACATGCCTGAGGACAAGCTTCACAGCGAACAGGCGACAAGCGCCCACTCAATACTCGGGGATACGGCAACTGAGAACGCAGTTCGAATACAAACTTGCTTCAAATGACTGTGGACGTTGTCATCAGCCACGACCATAACCTACAAGCCGCTTCTTCCCCGGGCATCTGTAAACTACCTCGCACAAGTTATTGTAGCGGCTACGACCTTAATCTCTTAGGACTGTAGCAGATACGATTCTGACCTGTCATAACCCCTACAGTTGTGACGACCCTGATGTAGACTTAATCTATACTCAACGCAGAAAGGTACATACAAACACGATTGACCAATCAGACCAGCTGAACATAGACGGACCGAATGGTAGACAGGTACAGACGGGCAGACATGAAGGAAGAAGGAGAGAGGTGAGCGCTCGTCAGAAGCAGCCTCAAGGATGCTTAGTAAGCGTGAATCATCAGTTCACGCGACTCCTTGTACGTACCACCCGCCTCATCTACCGATTGAATGATCTGATGAAGGGTCCCGACTGCGCTGATCTCTACAGATAGCTGATAGGGGTGTTGAGACAGACAGACAAAGACATATAGACGCAAATAGCCATGAATGCCGAGACACACAGTCTAACACACAGTTCGAAAACTCAGTTAGAAACACGAGTAAGCACACAGCGGGCAAACACCTGTCACCTCGTTTTTCTTACTTCGAACTAACAAAGTCTGAATTCGAATATCGAGCCCGGGCGCTTACAGTCCCAAGTAGTACTTGCTGACTTGACAAGGGGCAACCAGGACTGGAAAAGTTGACTCAGCAAGATAGGGACCTCACCACTTGCTCACTTACTTCTGATCGACTGTGAGCAATTGGCGAAGGGCAACTTCTGGATTTCCATAAATCTATGAACTTGGCGCTTCAGGCGCTGCAGCAGCTACAACCTTGACCAGATGGGACAGGCCACGACTTGAGTTCGGACGACTGCACTGGCCTGCGACTGACAAACAAACCTGCTAACTAAGACAGGCATACAAAAGAAGAGACAAAATCGGACATGTAGGACACAACACAGACATGCAGACACAGACAGATGCGAACCTACAGACACAGATACGCAGACATAGGTAACCGCACATGATGGACAAAGACAAATACAGACAGTTACGCAGACAAGATGCAAAACTGTCAGGCAGATGACCCGACAGAAAACAATCGGACAGACAAACGCAGAGAGAAGGGTAACACGCAGCCTTAGCAGGGTTGCCTACCTGTAGCAGGATGGGGCGCATGGTGGTCCTTGGGTACTGAAGGTATCTGTGAGTTTGCAGATGGGAGTTGTAAGAGAGACAAGAGACATACCTGGTGTCTGATGCATGCGGCGATTGCTCATACTTTTGAAGTCACTGTGGCAGCAAAGTATAAGCTAGATGGGATCCGCCACCTGTGGTTTGCATGTCGAACACCAGGTAGGATGTCTGTATTGGGTTCGTAAGGACGATGATGATGATGATGAGAAGGCACTTACCTTATAGTGGCAATGGTATGCGTAGGGCGACATCTTCAAGTACCTCAGGCTGCCGCTGACGTCAGTAATTGCATTGTCTTTTTGTAGTCTGTAGTAGCTGTGTAGGAGTAGGCTGGGCGCTAAGCGCCACATATGAGTGTGAGGGAACCGGACTCTTATATTGAGAGTGGAGAGTATGCTCTCCATGACATTGGGCCTCGGTACTACGAACCTCAATTAGTGTATTATCGGTGCGATGCTTCTCTTTGGATACGGTGTGACCAGTTGGCTTTCGAAGTAACGATGTAGTCGGGAATTGCCATCTCGCTGATTGCTTATTTTTCGTTGCATTGTTATTTTAATATTATTATTATTATTATTATTATTATTATTATTATTATTATTATTATTATTGGATGAATTGTGGGTTGGGTACATGTGGCATTTGTACGGTGAGGAACGGGGTTGTGAGGGATACGAGAAGCATACCTGGTGCCTGACGTGTGCAACCTTGACCGAGATCTGCTCATATCTGAGAAGTTGTTGTCGACATCATCGGCGTTGTAGTCGAGGCTAGATAGGATCTGTCATTCGTAGTCTGGGCGCAGAGCGCCAAGTAGGATATCAAATTTGGTTCTTCGTTGATGATGGTGGGACTATTTCAGCATTGTCAGATCGGAGCTTTCGCTGTGCTTTATTTTGAGAAACTAGTGATGCAATTCTGCTGTTGGTCCGGGATCACAACTATCTGGTCTTGTATTTCTGATCCGGTTGATTGTTGGAAGTTCGTTATTGTTCATCTTCTTTGTTTATTGTTATTATTATTATTATTATTATTATTATTATTATTATTACTATTAATTATTGCAATCAGACTGGCTTTCTTTCACATTTTCATGCATGTGAACAGTAGCGCAGCTCTGAGTACCCACGCTGATAATGATGAGAGCCAGCTCTCTCAAACATTCGGATTTGGTGCTCCGGCTCTTCTTTGGTGAATACATCTGTGCCATTTTGCTTTCCAGACCTTGTCAGAGTTCCTGAACACTTAATATGACCTGGCGGTTTGGAATCTATTCATTATTATTGCTGTCATTGTTATTTTATTATTATTACCATTATTGCGACAATTAGTGATCCCAGCAAGCCTCGTGCCCACCCTAAGTGAAGGCGGGCCGGCCAAGGGACAAGAAGCCCTGCGAACAACAGCTCACGAATGCTGCACCAGACAGTTTCTGCACGCCAGTTGGTTGGGGCACACTTAAGTGACCGATCTCAGCAACTGCGCGAGGACCTGTGCAAGTAAGCATGAGACTGACATTGCACGCTGCACTTAGAGGCTAGAGATGCCTATGAGAACCAGTCCTCAGACTGAATTCGGACGCAGGCCTGATAAAGAGGGCACAACTGTAAGCCTGAGCCCCCTTTTCTGTTCCGACCTGGGCGCAGATTTGAAGGCCCAGGCCCACGACCAAGTAGGACCCTACGCAGCAGCCAGCAGGATATAAGCAAGGTTGGAGAAGCATTCTGGACTCTTGGCTCATGTGGGCAACGCGGCTACGCTGTTGTGTATTGGCACTAGCGTAGGGCGCTGTGGCACAGTGAGGTGTTGGGACGCAGTAGCGCACACAGCCGTAGCCAGGTTGTCTAGCGTTGTGTTGAGGATGAGTGATGAGGTGGTCTTTGGGAATGTGAGAAAGAAGGTGATGTGGGTAGAGACAAGGAAGAGAGAAGTAAGTGACATACCTGGAGGTGGGAAGCCTGTATCCGGTATTGACTTGCTGATGGCCAAGTCTTCGAGTTGCTTCATGATGTAGTATAATCTAGTGATAGATGTAGGTAGGAGCGTCAGGCTCTGGTCAC